CCACACTCTTGCTATGGCTCTAATAGCTCTGACCCCCGGACAACTTTATTTATTAACATACAATCAAAATCACATTTCAGTACAATTAGAATACCACCACAACAGAGAGACCTAGAACTCAAACTTTCCAAGGTCTCTGTCAAGTTCTCTTTTGCTAGAAGCATTACCAGCATTTATCAAACACTTGCTGAATGTTAGGTTCTGGGTTAAACACTTTTCACAAATCTCAATAACTGAAAAATTTCCTCCAAAAAGAAAGCGTTTTAGGTAGAAAGGAAAAGGCACCATGCTAACCAATTTCTGCTGGCGTTCCCTTCACGTTGTTAAACAGAAGCGGCTAACACACAAGCCGTTCTCCCATTTCAGGGGCAAAGGCTCTAGGTGGTCTCTGCCGAGCTGTGTTTTCAAAGCTAAAGAAGCATCAATTCACACCCAGACCTCAACAGATTGTAGTTGTGGTTTGGAAGGCACACCTCCCCGCCTGCCCTCCTTAGCGTTTGCTCATTCACTACTTTTCTTTCTTTTTTCTATTTCCCCCATCTCACTTCCTTCCTTCCTTCCCTCTCTCCCTCCCTCTCTCTCTTCCTTCCTTCTCTCTTTCCCTCTCTCCTTCCTCCCTCCATCTCACCCTCCCTCTCTCCCTTCCTCTTTTCTCTCTTTCTGTCTCTCCTCCCTCCCTCCCTCCTTCCCTCCCTCCCTTCCTTCATTTCACTCTCCTCCTCCCTCTCCTTGTCTTTCTGTTTTAGAAAGTTTGGTATTAAAGGCAACTTCTGCTGAGATTCTAAATGTTTTGACTTGTGGACACCATACTGTGAGCATGTGAGGGCCTGGGTATCATCTAAAAGGAAGCGGAGGCCCAGGTGGGGTAAAGGATTGTGCCACAGGTCAATGGAATAAGCTGCTGAGATCAGAACGTTGCTCCAGGGGTCTGCAGAAATGGCTGAGTTGGTCAAGTGTTTGCCACGCAAGCAAGAGGACCTCAGGTCAATGCCCAGAACCATGTCTCAAAGCTGGGCATGGGAGTGTGTGCCGGGGAAGCAGAGAAAGAGTGTCCCTGGAACTCTGACAACTAGCCTAATCAGCATGTTCCAGGCCACGTGAAAGACTGTCTCAAAAACCAGGGTGGACAGCATCTAAGGAATGATGACTGAGGTTGACCTCTGGCCTCCACATGTGCACGTACATGTATGTGCGCACACACTCAGCACACATGTGGAACGCAATCTGAGTAGCAATGGTAGTCCTGAAGGGTTCTGTGGGTGCCAGGCCTTTGGTTATTTTGTTCAGTCTCAGATTCTTTTGCTTCCCTTGAAGGTATCCAGTGGCCCTTGGCAGGAGTCTCAGAATGAAAAGAAAACCTCTGTTCACACCCAGCACTTCAGAATCCCTTGAGGTGAGGCACAGATTGCCTAAGGGCCTCATACAGAGTATGTTCTCAGAGATACAGGGGTCTTGATTTTAGAATAATAGCAATCCACAAAGAAAGCTCAAAATGGCGGGCCTTGTAGAACGTGGACACCCAGATTCTCAGCCTCTGGGACAAGCCAGGGAGGCTTTCCACATTGGCACAATTTCCCACCACAATGCCTTCCACAAAGGAATCTCCGAAGTATAATGTGGAGACTCAATGAAGAAATGCTCAGTAGGAGACCCGGGGAGGCAGGATCAGACAGGGCCCCATCAAGGAAGTGTCAGTGAGAGAACCTGGGAGGCAGAGATGGACCAAGGCCCCCTTAGCTCACAGATTCTGAACCCTGGCCTTAGAAGGAGCTCTGACGTTTGTTCTTCAGGGGCAGCTAATTTATGGAGGAGACCACTGAGAATTAGGAGATAAACCAGTTTCCTTCCAGGCCCTCCATCACTTCCCTTGTAAAATGGGAAAGAATGGGCTCACGTGACTACCAAAGTCCTATCTAGACACAAGAACCCTGTGAATCACATTAAAATAGTAAAATGACATGTGACCTAATTGCTTAACTTTTTTACAGCCCTAATTTTATCCCCATCCTACTTAGAGGTTTAGCCAAATAGACTGAACTTAGAGGAACTCTTTGATGTCCTGAATTCCTGTAGGAATTTGACTTCAGTCTCTCCTGAAGGATGTTAAAGCTGGTGCATTATTTTGGAGATTCAACACCAGGGAGCCTAGAGAGCAGAACACGGTGAGAAGTTAGCACAATTAGTAGTATGTAGCTCTGGGAAGATGGCTCAGTGGTGAAGCATTCGCCATGCCATGTGAAGGCCGGAGTTTGGGTCCCCACACATGCAAATGCTGGCCGTGTAATGGCCTGCCTATCTTCCTAGCACCCAGGGGGCAGGGACAGGGGAGCAAGCTGGCTAGCCAGTTGAGCGGAACTGGCAAGCTCTGGTTTCAAGTGAAAAACCAGACGTCAAGGTGGAGAGTGATCAAGGTGGACCCTCAGTGTCCATCTCTGAGCTCTTCCTACATGTGCATGACTTTGTGTAAGTACATCAGAACACACACCCACCCAAACATACAGACACACACCACACACATAAAAAAAAAGGAATTAGTGGAATATCCACCAGGTGCTAAGCTCCTACATGTGGTCTACAAGCCTTGTGGGACCTGGCTTCTCCTTACTTCCGGCCTGGTGACTTTCCCTCTGTGTCTTCTTTCCTTTGATTCACCAAAGGCGTAGACTCTTTCCCAAATCAGAGCCTGCCTGTCATAGCTGTTGTTGTTGTTGTTGTTTTCCTGGAGCTCTTTCCCTCTCTGTTAGTTTACCTAGATGACTCAGGTCTCAGCATTGCATCCGTTCGGTCTTTGCTGACTCCCTCATTGAAAGTCGACCACTCTGTCCCTTTCTCTTCAGAGCACTGAATGGTGTTTGGATTGTACATGTATCTGGTGAATTTATCCTAACCTTTGTTGCCCTAGGTATGCTGGAAAATTCTAAGTTGTGGTCCTTTTTTTTTTCCCCTTCTTCTGTGTTTTCTGCTATTTCCTGGCACATAGTAGGGATTCAGTGAAGACTTGCTGTGTAGTGATGGAGGAAGGGACTTAGTTGGTAGCCTGAATTTGATCCCCAGCAGCCAAATAAAAGAGCCTGTTTGTAAGACCAGAAATGGGGCGGGGGAGAGATCCCTGGGGGCTCACTGGCCAGCTGGCCTAGCCCACTTGGTGAGCCCCAGGTCACTGCAGGACCTTGTTTCAAAAAACAAGGTAGATGACTTCTAAAGGTCACCTGAAATTGACCTCTGGCATTCACACTCATGCAAAAACACGTGCATGCATACCTGTACACACACATGAAAAAAGGTACTAGCACCAAAATAAAATTAAATGAAAAAAAGATTGTTGTGTTAGTGAGGGAGGGAGTGAATGGATGTGTTGGCAGAAAAGTCCCAACACCTTCCACACTTACTGGTTATCGATGATGTTTTTGAGACATGGTCTTGCGATGGGGCCCAGGCTGGCCTTGAACTTGGATCCTCCTGTTTCAGCCTCCAGAGAACCAGGGCTCTCGGTGTGAGCCTCCACACCTGGCTTTTACTGGTTGTTTATATATGACACAACCTACACAGATCCTCAGTGAAATCGCCCCTTTGACCCTGCTTTGGCATTGTGGAAACAGCTATCAGTCTCTGGGCAAGCTGGCATTTATTCCGACTTGTGTTTATTTAGACTGAATGGCCCTCTTTAGTGGTTCAATTAAAAGCACCACCTTGCCAGTTGCTGCAGCTTCGGTTCTTCCCATCCGAATTACATCTCAGGGAAGTTTATGGGGCCAAGAAGTCACCCGAGACTCAAGGCTTTGCTATCAACAAGAGAAAAATCTCGAGTGGCTTTGCCTTAAAACAAGTCAGAATCAAGTCATAACGTGGAATTACCGCAGGGTCACCTGGCTGTCGTCGGTTTTGCTTAGATGTTGCTGGGACCACATTAAAAAAAGAAGTTATTTATTAAGGGCAGAATAGTTCCTTTTAAATTCTGTAGCAATCATGCCCTGCTCTCTCTCTCTCTCTCTTTCCCCCTCCCAGTCCATGGAAAGTGTTATCTCAGGCAGCTCTGTGCAGGAAGTTGTGTTTATCGCTTCCTCACAGTCGCAGTGTGTCTAGGACTTAACTGCATGCTATCAGATTACATCAAAATGTAGGCCTTTGTGTGTTTAACTCATCAAAGGAGCGGTGGACCCTCAGGAATGGCTATCACTTCTCTGCATACGCAGCCATGTAGCAAAACAAAGCCTATCTAAACAGGACAGGAGCACTTCTGGTGTGTGGAGGCTCTGCAGGCTCTCTCTCTCTCTCTCTCTCTCTCTCTGCCTGCAGCCTTGCTCGGGGTTCAGGTGTCTGCCGGGTTTCACTTCTTGATTTTATATTTATCTCCTTTTAGAATTGCTGTCATTTGCCTGGTTGTGTGCAAGGAAGGAAAACCCAAAATACTACTTACCAGGGAGGAGGCGAGATGACTACAATCCAGTGACAGTTGGTCTTGATTTTCACTTGGGAGAGCCAGTGAGTGCTATGGATGGTTGTGGAGCCTGCCACCCTGGGTGGAATCCTGGCTCCCCGATTTCATTTTCCCAACTGAAAAATGGAGGTGATAACAATACCTGTCTCGTGTGTGTGTGTGTGTGTGTGTGTGTGTGTGTGTGTGTGTGTTTAGCTAGGGTCTTATGTAGCTCAAGATGGCCCAGAAACCAGTATGTAACAGAGGATGACCTTGAATTTCTGATCTTCCAGCCTCTACCTTCTGAGTGCTAGGATTCTTCAGTTTTGGTTAACAGAAAGTCCCACTATGTAGCTCAGGCTAGCTTAAAACTCACTATGTATGTTCAAATAAATCCAGTCTGGCTACGAACTCAGAATCTTTCTTCCCCAAATTACCAAGTGTCAGGACTACACACATGTGGCCAACACATCCATCTCTCTAATCCCTGATCCCAAATGAGTCATATACGTCAAAGAAAATGTGAAAAGTGCTACGTAAAATGCTCCCCCAGGGGGACTATGAGCATTTAAAGCCTGAGAGAATGCTGTGTGCCAAGTCCCACAGAATGGCAAGACTGGCAGACAGCTCTGGTCCCAGGCTGGTTACATTTCCACATCTGAGGACCCATGGCTATTTTCTTCTTTTCTTTTTGATACAAGGTCTCACTTTTGAACCAGCTGCCCTGGAAGTTGTTATGTAGGCCAAGCTGCTGGTATAGAACTTGCCACAATCCTCCTGCTTCAGCCTCCCCAGGGCTGGGATTAGAAGTTCGAACCACCATGTACCCGTGGCTTTTTTCTTCCCTTTGGTAGGCTGGCTGCCAGACGCAGCCTCTATTGGCAGCCACAGGAAGCCAATGCAACTGTGAAGTAATACTTCTGCCCCAGGGCTGACTCCACCCTGGTGACCAAGGCTTTTTGTTTTTTTTTTTAGATCTGCTCAGCCAACTCCTTTTAATGCTTTGCCTAAAAAGGAGTTCTCACCCAGCCTTGCTGCAGAGGGAAATGGCTGACTGCCCCAGAGGTTCCTGACACGGAGCTTTCGGGGGAAATGGTGGCATCAGCTTTACACTTCGGGAGCTTGAGGGTCCTGCCTGGCAGCAGCTGTCCAACACGAAGCTTCTTTCGCAAAAGCAGATGTCAAAGGGAGAGCTGGATTATTCTGTAAACGGTCCTCTGGCTGGTGTGCTATGATGAGGCAGTCCTAACAAATATTTGCATGGAGGAAGTATGACAATTTTCATAGGTCTATGACTGGAAAGACATGGAAGTTACACCTAAAATGTGCATATAT